AAGATTCTTCAAAAAGTTTGTGGAAAATGGGATGAAAAGATAATTTTTTGATGCAAAAAATTTAGAAACCATCCAGTTTTTTTCATAATATAAATTTTTTGAAAAAAAAATTACTTGTGTCACCCTCCCCACATACTTTTAAAGATTAATTTAGTTTTTTAAAGTCAAGAGTTTTAGAGAGAGAGGGGGAGAGAGAGATCTTCCAATCCAGGGGTTCACTCCTCAAATGGCTACAACAGTCGGGGCTGGGCCAGGCTGAAGCTAGGAGCCGGGCGCTTCATCCACCTCTCCCAAGTGAGAGGCAGGGACCTGAGTACTTGAACCATTCTCTAAAACTTTCCCAGGTGAATTAACAGGGAGCTGGATTGGAAGTGGAGCAACTGGGACTCAGACCAATTAGCACTAATGTGAGATTCAGGCATCAGAGGTGGCGACTTAACCTGCTGCACCACAGCGCTGGCTCCCTGGAATATGCATTTTTTTTTTACAAACTTGTTGAAGATTGCTCATATAACATATCAAGACCTTTATATCCATGCTTAAGATATAGATGGAGGAGAATTTTGAAGTACAACTTTTCATTTTCAATAGTCCTGTTTCAGTCACTGTGATTTTAAAAAAATTAGACAAGATAGATGTAAAGTACTGCACTTCGCTGAGTAGGTACTGGTTAATGGAAGCAAATTCTTTCAAAAGAGGATGAGTTGATTTTGTCATATTTTACTTTAAAACTGAAGCATAATGACTTATGTTCATTTTTAGTTTGTATATGTTATGGGGGACATTTTAAAAATCAGTTTTCACTGTTATTTGAACGATAAACACAGAGACAGAGAAAGATAGATCTTCCATCCACTGGATCACACAAAGCGTGCAATAGCCAGGGTTTGGGCCGGGCCAAAGCCAGAAGCTCATAGCTCCATCTTAGTCTGCCCTGTAGCTGGCAGAGATCCAAGTACTTGAGCCATCATCTGCTGCCACTGTCAATGCGCATTAGCAGGAAGTTGGTTTGGAAACAGAGGATCTGGGACTGGATCAGGCACTCTGATACAGGATGTGAGCATCCCAAGTTGTGTACTAACCACTGCTGAAGGTCCACCCCTGTGATCACATTTCTGTGCTATGCATTGTGATTCCTTATCTCAGCTTCCGGAAAGCACATGATTCCTCTTTGTTTTTCTTTTAAAGACAACTCAAAGTCACTAAACATTGAGTATTCAAAGTAAGACAGTAAATTTTACTCCATATTGTTTTTCTGTTTTGATGACTTTGGCACCATGACTATGTAGTTGTTTTAAATGAATCATGTAAAACATTTATATGTGCAAAATAATTCATGAGTATCTGAGATGTCCAGCCCTTTTTTTACATTTGGAATCCCACATGACTACTGTGTTAAAGCCACTGCATGTGTTCTTACTCTTTCCATATATGCTACACAAACCAGCTTTCTTTACTTTTTTTTTTTTTTTTAAGATTTATTTATTTATATGAGAGGCAGAGTCACAGACAGAGAGAGGGGGTGACTGAAAGAGGGAGATCTTCCATCTGCTGGTTCACTCCCTGGAGCTGGACTGATCCAAAGCCAGGAGCCAGGAGCTTCCTCCAGGCTTCCCAAGTTGTTGCAGGGCCTAAGCACTTGGCCATCATTTACTGCTTTACCAGGTGCATTAGCAGAGAGCAGATTGGAAATGAAGCAGCTGGGACTCGAATTAACACCCATATGGGATGCTGGTACCTCAGGTAGATGTTTAACCTACTGCACCACAGCGCCGGCCATAACTTGTGTTTAACCTCTGTTTTTCACATTAGTACTAGATCATAACAGGGCAAAATATGATCTAATCAATTGCCTCTGTAAAACTCATGCCCTATTAATGTAGTTGAAGAATGTGGTACAATGGGGATGAATCTTTTTAATCAGTGCCTTTACCTGGGTATTGTTTTGAGCAGAAAGTTGGAAAATTAGATTTTTACTTATAATTTTGTATCTATTAAGTATTTCCCCAATTCATATCAGAACCCTTTTGGTGAGGCCCAAGGTCTGGACTTGACTAGTGTTTGATAGTAATCTCCTCCTGATCCTCTCCTTCCTTGTTCTGCTTGCTTTACCTTAAAGCATGGAGTGCTCAGCACCGATGCGGTGTGTCCTTAGATGTTTGGCAGACAGATATTTAGCAGAGAAAGTGGAGACTTTTTCAGGAGGTTTCCTTACAATTTTGAGTCTTCCTGCAATATCATAGAATTGAGATTAAACATTAATAAGGTTGTATGTGGTTAATTTTATTATCCTGTAGATAAAGGTAATCAGTGATTGTTACTAAATATTTTCATGGTTATAAATGTAGATTTGGAAAGAGTGGTTCATTTTTTCCCTGTTTCTGCTACTGAACTCATATAGCCAGATTCATTACAGTAAGGATTAATGTTCTAGTAGGAATGTACAATGCTTTGAAATTATTAACCATATTATTAACAAGTAGTGTTTATGTAAAGCTATGTCCAAGTGATTTGACTTATGTTTGAAGTATGTGTTCCTGTTGTCCATATAGTTCTATTTTTCTCCCATGAAGTTTCAGCATTTTTTTCTTGGAGTTCTGAAAGATTTCAGGTCTATTTATAGAAATGAGAGACATATTTTAGCCTGTTTTACATCTAGTGTGTATCTAATCCTAGTGTATGAAGTTTCTCTGGATTCGTGATCATTACCAATAAATTAGGGTTTATCTTTTTAAAAAAATTTATTTATTTATTTGAATGTCAGAGTTACAGAGAGAGGGAAAGACAGACAGACACACACACACACACACACACAGAGCGATTGAGCACCTCAATCCGCTGGTTCACTCCCCAGATGGCCACAGTGGCAAGCACTGGGCCAGGATGAAGTATAGAGCCAGGAGATTCTACAGGTCTCCCATGTGGGTGACAGTGACCCAAACATTTGGGCTGTCTCCCACTCCTTTCTCAGGCCATTAGTAGGGAGCTGGCTGGGAAGTAGAGCAGCCTGGGCACAAACTGGCACCCATATGGGACACTGGTTTCATAGGCAGTGCTTTTCCTGCTGTGCCCCAGTGCGGGCCCCCAGGCTTTTATCTTTGATTATTATAATATGTATTCTCAACTCAGTTTTTTTACCAAATGAGTTATACTTTTGCATTTCTATTGGTAATTATCAGTTTAGTGCAATGATACAGCATGTTTTTTTTTTTTTTAAAGAATGAAAAGTAGGTAGCAGATGAAGTTCAAAACATTATATTGGTTATTCCTATCTATAATTGAATATTTATTGAAACCTAATTTGAGAAAAAGTAATCTCTGAGAGGCATGGATTCTTAACACCTAAATGGCATTTTTAAAATGCCTTTAGCATGAAAATAGGTGTAGAACAAAATGTATACCTCATTTTTGAATGTGAAATAAAGACTAGTAGGAGATCATTTTAACAATTAAACACACATGCATGCAGGCCCCAATGAAGGTTACTAAGAATCAAATTTTGAACCTCATCGGTTGATTAGTCATTGAAGCCGAAAAAAATAATAGGAAAGAATGGAAGAAGGAAAAAGGGAAGGCAGGAAGGAAGGAAGGAAGGAAGAAGGAGGGGAAGAACTAAGGGAAGGGCAGGGAACCTTCACTTAACAGAATCGAGCTGATTCTATCTAGAAAGAGCGTTAGTTTCTGTGATAGCCAGCGAGCGTGGTTGTTCTTCATCAGCCCTTTCACAATACACTGATCTGGATTCCATCTGTTTCTTGATTGATTGATAATGTCAGGGACAGATGTTAATTGTTTTTTGCCAGTAGTTTCTGACCATATAATGGTCTTCTCATCTCTTAACCAGGGCTCACTGCCTTTTTCTAAAGCTTATCTATCTTCTAAAGCCCTTTAGATCCATCTTGACCTTACTGTCATTCTGAAAAATTCAAGGAGGATTTGGAAGCTGGAGAAAAAAATGAAAGGGAAAATGCTAAAGAGATAGGTGCTGATATGGGAGAGAAAAAGCATTTGGAATTGGAGTAATCATTTTAAATAGAATTTTAAAAGGAAGTTATCAGAATTTTGACACTTGGAATGCTGAAATTTAAGGGGAGTATAATTTACACTAAGAATTTAGAAACTAAATCTGCATTCCCTTTTGGAAATGTGACCTATTTGTTAAGATTTGAGACTGAAAATATGGAAGTACATAGTTGGAAGCAGTAGCCCTACTTTCAAATATATCTGAATGGAGAGAAAAAGTAACTCATTGAGAAAAATGTAGTAATTATTTAGACATTGTGAAGTTTGAATATCTTCAAACTTTATGAATTTAAAAAAAACAAATGTAACTACTTCCTATAATCTAGTGTGCAATTTAGATTTGCAGTAGCACAAATAATATTTACAAATATATTTTCTTTAATAAAAATATTTACCACTTTTTATGTGAGAAACATGTTAGCAGCTTTCACCACTTAGTGACAGAGAACATCTTGACTTTATTTTCTTCTTGCTTCATCCTAAATGGGTGTCTTACAAAAGTTGTGTTTCATTTTAAAGGACTAAGTGGTTACAGGTTGATTGGTCTCTCTGCCCTTGAAGCTTTGTCATTGTTCCTTGCAAAGCACGTAAATTTTGCTTGTATTTAAAAAAAAAGTCACCTGAATGAAAAGGAATAACATTTAAACTTTCACCTCAGAGACCCATTTTCTGTCTTTTCAGCTTAAGAAATGATAAATACCAGCAAAATTTTGATAGGACTATAGTACTAAGAAAAGATTATTCAGCGTTTCATTTCTACCCTGGACAATTGTTTAAATACTCTTCTGGAAAAAAATTATTTTAGCTATGGTACTTTACAGTAGATAGAATAATGTAATTGTTTATAGCCTAGGGTTAGAGCAACACCAGCAAAAATAGCTTTGTGCATTTTTAAATGAGAGAATTTCTCCATATGCTGGACTTCTGAACTTGTGAGATACATATATTTTTAATACTTAACTTTTGTATTTTCATAGATTCTTCCTGCATGGAAAAACTACTTTCAAAAGATTGGAAGGAAAAAATGGAAAGACTAAATACCAGTGAACTTCTTGGAGAAATTAAAGGTACAATATGGAAAATGTCAAGCATGTCAGTGCAGAGGTTATTTTGTATAACAACGTATTTGCTGATCTTCTATACCATAACAGTAATTCCTTACTTCTAACACTTGATTGTAAATGAGAGTGTAATGTGTCCCTGAACTTTGATTCTTTGTACGGTTTATAGAATGAAATTTTTGCCTGCTCTTTAAACATATAACTTATTGGATATACTGACTCATTAATTAAAAATATGAAAAAGAAAATGTTATACCAACCAAAAGATGACAAAATTGAGTTAAAGATTATCAGCGTTTCCTCTCAAAATCAGACTACTTTAGTTTATGAATTCAAATTATTGATTTTAACTCCTTGATGATCAATAGGGGTCACTTGTCGTACCTTTAAAAAATTTACAAAATGGGCCATGTGTAATGTTAAATGGGTGCATTTTGAGGTGTATTTCCTTGGTTTAAATACTACTCCGTTACTCACTAGGTGAGTGATGCTGGGAAGCCATTGAATATTTCTGTTTCATATTCCTAATCTCTAAAATGGGGATAATGATAGTACCTTTTTCATTGGTTCATTAAGAGAGTTAATACATGTGAAGCTCTTTCAACTTTGGCACTTAAAGTACTCAGGAGTGTAAGTTGTTTTCATTATTAATGTGCCTGTGGGATCATATGTTGATTAATCTCAAACATCTTTCATAGTATCTAACATTTTATTATCTCTGAATCAGATGAGATTGAACATTTTCATTTCTGAATATATGTGACATATGTGTTTGAAGTTATTATTTTAAAGCATAACAAGAAGTGGACAACCCTAATCTATTCCAGTAATAAGTTAGCCTAACAGGAAATTATACTTCTTGGTTAACCAAATTCACTCTTGTTGATTCATATCTGGAGATGAAGTATTATATTCCTAGAATTTTATAGTATGTTTCTAGAATTTTTTGTAGCATGAATAAAATCTATGTCCATTGATGAATTCTACCAGTATCCCTTACCTACAGATGGTCATCATCCTAAATTGCAGTAACAATTTGGAAACATAATTACATTAGTTTTCTGAATTTATCAAACTGCTTCAAGTGAATCTTCCTATTGTTATAGATAATATCTCACAATAAGCATCTGTTGAAAATATTATTTTGGGTTTAGTAGAGAAAGTGTGTAATCTTCAGGCATGTTCAACTCAGCTGAACAGTGAAAGGAAGTGGTCTTTTACCAATGCATAATTAATAACTCATTCCATTAACTGATACAGTGTCAAAATCAAGTGGAAATTTGGTGGTATTTTGAATTTCACTGATTCTGTTTTGTACTCATAAAGGCCGTTTGCTATTTTGGAAAAAAAAAGAAGAAACTCAAGTTATAACTGACGGGTAGAAAGAAAGTCATTAGTGACATATTCTCTCTCCAGCTGCAGTAGCATGGTGTGTGCTACTCTGCACGTCATTCTGTGTTTTCTTCTCTTTCCAAAGTCATTGGTTTTATAACAGTGAGAACAGAAATGGTTTATGCAAAGGCAAGCTTTTGCCAGCATGAATAATGGGGTCTAACTTTCTTTTAGTAATGTGAAAACAAACTTTTTTTAATGTTAAGATTAAACCTAGAGTTCTATACTTTAGGGTATTCCCTCACCCCAGCTCTCATGTTCGGTACTTATTTATATGTAATTCAAATTATGAATTAAAAATAAGAAGAATACTAATCTTAGACACTCAAAATGTATAAAATCCAAAGTACAGCACTTAGAAAATTAGTCTTTTCTAAATTCTTTCACTATTTTTTCTGAATTCTGTATGTGATATAGGAACTTGCATTTTTTGCTCTTCTGAGTTGTATGGACGTAACAGAAAATAGTCTTACTAAATTATACATTTTTATTTATTCTACAGTATTATCTCTTCTTAGATTTTAATACTTTGTCACCATATACAATATATTACATGGAGAATATCTCAATAATGTATAATTTTTAAGTTGTGAATAACTTAAAGTATCAGTGATATTCAAATAGTTTTAGCCAACCATTGCTAAAACTCAACATACTTTTCTATACTAGGTGAGACAAGGCCAGTTACTATGCACTTTAATTGGTTATCATATTCCAAAATATTAAAGTGATATAAATTTTTCTTTGGGGAGTACATACTATGGTAGGTTATCAGTATTTAATATTATATTTCAAGCATTGTTTATTTTTAAATATCTCTAATTATTTTACCCTGATTACTAAATGAATACATATTTATTTGTGAGAAACACAAAAACACAAAAAGGATTAAAAAAAAGTCCTTAAATTCTACCTGTATCTTACTTTTTTCATTTATTTGAAAGAATTATAGGGAGAGGTAGAGATAGAAAGAGAAGAGAGAGAGAGAGAGAGAGAGAGGTCTTCCTTCCGCTGGTTCACTCCCCAAATGGCCACAATGGCTGGAGCTGCACTTATCTGGAGCCAGGAGCCAGGAGCTTCTTCTGGGTCTCCCACGTGGGTGCAGGGGCCCAAGGAGTTGGGCCATCTTCTACTGCTTTCTCAAGCTGTAGCAGAGAGCAAGGTTGGAAGTGGAGCAGCCGGAACTTGAACCAGTACCCCTATTGGATGCTGGTGCTTCAGGCTGGGGCTTTAACTCACTATACCATGGCGTTGGCCCCCTACCTGTATCTTATTATCTATTCTGTCAATGTTGACTTATGCATCTATGTGGTAGATGTTTTTTCATTTTTAAGATTTATTTTATTTCGAAAGAGTTACAGAGAGAGATGGAGAGACAGAGAAAGAGAGAGACCGATCTTCTATGCACTAGTTCACTCCCCAAATAGCCAGTGCTATTTGGCCAGTGCTGGTCCTGGCGAAAGCCAGTAGCCAGGAGCTTCATCTGGGTCTCCCATGTGGGTGGCAGGGGTCCAAACACCTAAGCCCTCTTCCACTGCTTTTCCCAGGCCATTAGCAGGGTGCTGGATTGAAAGTGGAGCAGTGGGAACATGAACTGGTGCCTGTATGGGATGCCTGCATCATGGCAGGTTTGTTTGTTTGTTTGTTTTAATTTGACAGGTAGAGTTATAGACAGTGAGCGAGAGAGACAGAGAGAAAGGTCTTCCTTCCGTTGGTTCACCCCCCAAATGGCCGCTACAGCCAGAGCTATGCTGATCTGAAGCCAGGAGCCAGGTGCTTCATCTTGGTCTCCTATGCGGGTGCAGGGGCCCAAGCATTTGGGCCATCCTCCACTGCCTTCCTGGGCCACAGCAGAGAGCTGGACTGGAAGAGGAACAATGGGGACTAGAACCCGGCGCCCATATGGGATGCTGGCTCTGCAGGTGGAGGATTAACCAAGTGAGCCACGGCGCCAGCCCCCATGGCAGCTTTAATGTCAGCCCTGTGGTAGATATTTTTCCCCCACAAAATTAGTTATCATCTTTTGCTATTCTTTTGTGATCTATGTTTCTGGATTGATGATATATTATAGATTTTCCCTTGATTGGATAGACTGCTAAAATATTTTGTTGGCACAAAATATTGATAAAGTGCTATTTCATAATTTATCTGAGCCTTTCTTTCAATATTTAAGTTGTTTTTAATATTTGTCAGTATAAAGAGCACCTTGAACATGGATAACTTCTTATTAAGACTTTTCAGCTTATTAGTAGTTATTTCCTTAGGATATATTCTTAGAAGTGAAATTCTTGGGCCAAAGAGTATGTTCTTCTTAAGAAGGCTTTTGATTCATATTGCTGGTTCCCCTGCAGGAAGGGCATAGTGTTTTGTACTATCACCAACAGTGTTTGCAGGTGCCTATACTCCTTGCCCGGCTTCAGAAATTTCTTGCTAGTTTGATTGATTGAAAACAGCATACCATTGCTGATTTAATATGTTTCTTTGATAATTAATGAGAATGGTGAGTTTTACATATTTATTTGCTAATAAATATTTCCTCTTTTGTGAACTGCTTATTTATGTTGGGTGCCTATTTTCCATTTACAGAACTTGTGTGTTACTTACTGTTTTGTAAGAATTCTCAGAATACATGTTAGTAGTATTAGCTTTCATTTGTCACATGTATCATATTTTGGCCATGCACTTTATTTTATGGTTTTGTTGTCAATATTTTCATCCTTTTTTAAACATGTATTTCTCTTGGGGAGTTGTTTAAAAAGGTTTCCCTACTCTGAGATTAAAGAGTGTTTTGTATTTTCTTCCAATTAGTTAGTTACATTTTAGAATACTTAACTCTTTAATTCATCTTGACTATATTTTGATTGATAATGTCAACTAAAGGTATAACTTTTTTGTTCTCAGGTAGTCAAGAAATGGTACCCCATCCCATTTATTAAATAATGTACTTTATTTGTCTTGAATAAAATCCTTTATTCTTCTTGAAGCAGCATATTATACTCTGATTATATATTTGGAACCATTTCTCAGATTTTGGTTATGCTTTGGATCTTTCCACCTAAAATATTTTTAGTACTATGCTGTATGATGCTGTATTATTTTATATCACATATCTGTTACATATAGTTTATAGTATTTTCCTAAAGTAAATATTACAAAACCACATTCATAATTTCTCTTTAGGTGTTTATATACTTCTCTAAAGTTTATCTTAGATTTATTTTTGCCCTTTGTATTTTTAAATTTTTATCAAATATTTTATTTTATTTTTCATGTTATCTGAAAGGCAGACGGAGACAGATAGACAGTGAGACAAAGATCTTCTGTGTGCTAATACATTCCCCAAGTGCCCACAACAGCCAGGATAATCATGCACTGATGGCACGGACTGATGTACTTGGGCCATCACCTGCTGCTTCCTAGGAGGCACATTAAATGGAAGCTGGCTTGGAAACAGGAGAGCCAGGACTCCAGCCAGACAGTCTGATACAAGATATGATGTCCTAAGCACTGCCTTTTTTTTTTTTTTTAAATAAAGATTTATTTGCTTATTTGAGAGGCAGAGTTACAGAAGGTGAGGTCTTCCATCTGCCATTTCACTCCCTAAATGGCTACAA